GAATTAAAGGAAAGTTTGGTTCAAGTAGTAAGGAAAATAGGAACATAACGGGAACCGACGCTAGAAGAGGAGGGGTTAGTGGTAGAAAGGAAGTGAGGGAGTTAAGGAATCTGGTGAGCACAATTAATTATGATAGGTTACATGAGGTGGTTAGGGGTGTTGATGTTTCTCATTGAAAATTATTAGTTAGAACGTGAGAGGATTGGGCTCCTAGAAGAAAGGGGGGGCATTAGGAATTTTTTGAAGAAACATCAACCAGATATTGTCATTTTTTAGGAAACAAAGGTGAAAGTTTGTGATAGGAATTTTATTAAAAGTATTTGGGGATCTAGGCACAGATGGTGGGCTTTTGTACCGTCAATTGGAAGGTCTAGAGGTATTTTAATCATTTGGGATGAGAGGGTTGCTTCACAGAGTGAATCTTTAGTGGGCGAGTTCTCATTATCAATTAGATTTAGGAATTTGGACAATAATGAGTGGTGGTTGCCGGGGGTTTATGGCCCTAATAGTCCTTCTAGGAGAAGGGATTGGTGGGAGGAATTATATGGGTTGTGCTCTCCAAATTGATGTTTAGGGGGGAGATTTCAATGTGGTTAGAAAAGTTTCAGAAAAGCTCAATGGGAATAGAACCAATAGAGCCATGAGAGATTTTAATGGGTTTATCAGAGAGTGTGAGTTGGTGGATCCTTGTTTATTTAATATCAGAATCACTCGGTCTAATCTTTTAGAATAATCGGCTATGTTGTAGATTGGATAGATTTTTATTTTTCTTGGGTTGGGAGGGGGTCTTTCCCAATGTGAGAGAGGAAACGTTACCAAGATTAGTTTCTGACCATTGTCCCATTATGATAGAGAGTCGTCCTTTTAAGTGGGGACTGGTTCCCTTTAGATCTGAGAATATGAGGTTGGAACATCACTCTTTCAAGGAGAATTTTGTGGGGTGGTGGGATAATGCTAGATGTCATAGGTGGGAAGGCTTTAGATTCATGAGAAAATTGAAGTTGATTAAAGAGAAGGTGAAGTGTAGGAATAGGGAGGTTTTTAGGGACTTGGAGACGTCAAAATTTCAAGTTGTGCGTAGGAGTAAGGAATTGGATTCTATGAAGATGCTAGGGGATTTGGTTGAGTCAACAAGGAAAGAAAGGAGTGAGTTAGGATTGAAACTGGAGGAGCTGATTTTTGGGGAGCATATTTTTTGGGCCCAAAAGGCAAAGGTGAAGTAGTTAAAGAAAGGGGTCATTAATTCAAAGCTATGAAGCATGGGTACTTCGAAAAACATGCCGTACCCGTACCGGGTACTTACCGGCGTACCGTACCGCGTATGGTACTTTTGCATACGTAGCTGATTTTTGGGGAGCATATTTTTTGGGCCCAAAAGGCAAAGGTGAAGTAGTTAAAGAAAGGGGTCATTAATTCAAAGTGTTTGCGTAATATTGCAGTTTGGAAAATGAAGAAGAAATTTATCAAGAGATTGGAGGTAAACCCAGGAATAGTGGAGGACAGGTAGGATCATATAGTCCAAGGGATTTTTTATTTTTACTCCAAGTAACTTTCGAAGGATAAGATGGTTAGACTAGGGATTGAAGGACTTGAGTGAGGGTCTATTGATCAGGAAAGTGCAAGTTGGTTAGAAAGACCTTTTGATGAACTGAAAATTAGAGAATAGGTCTTTGATTGTGAAAGGAACAAAACTCCAGGTCCGGATGGGTTCTTCATAGCTGTCTTTCAAGATTGTTGGGAGGTGGTGAAAGGGGATTATTTTTGAATTTTATAATGGATAAGAAAGGTTATGGAGAGAGATGGAGGTCATGAATTACGGAAGGGGGTGTTTGGCGACTTGCAATATGTCGGTGATAATCAATGGTAAACCAAGAGAGAGTTTTAAGGCGTCTCGATGATTAAGGTAGGGGGATCCTTTATGTGTTAGGTAGGATGGCAGATAGGGCTAGAGAGGCAAGTCTGTTTGAAATTTTACACGTCGGTAAAGACAGGATTAGTGACACATTTACAGTTCGCGGATGATACTATATTCTTTTCCTCAAGGGATGAAAGATAGATGGTTAATCTTTTATCGGTGTTGAAACTTTTTGGGGTGATCTTGGGTTTTAAGGTTAACCTAGAAAAAAGTATTGTGGTGGGTATTAATGTAGATATTAGTCAAATTCAGAAAGTGGCTGCCATACTTGGATGTGGCATTGAGACACTTCCAATCAAATATTTGGGTCTTCTATTGGGAGGTAATCCAAGAAGTGAATTGTTCTGGAATCCAGTTGTGGAAAAGATAGACAGTAGGTTAGAAGGGTGGAGTAGGGCTTTACTTTCTCGAGGGGTTAGGTACACTTTGGTTGAGACAGTTCTAAGTGGTATTCCAATTTATTTCTTGTCTTTGTTTAATATTTTGGTCAAGATGGCAAGATCTTTAGAAAAATTGACGTGGGATTTTCTTTGGGAAGGGAAGGATGAGGGCAACAAGGATCATGTGGTGAATTGGGAGACAGTTTCCTTTCCTAAAGAGATGGGGGATTTGGCCATTAGTAATAATATTGTGGCTAGGAACATGGATCTACTTGGAAAGTGGTTATGGAGATTCCCAATTGAATGCGATTCGTTATGGCATGCGGTTATTAGAAGCAAGTATGGGATTCATGTTAATGGTAGAGATTCACAAGTGGTCACTAGGGGTAATGGTCAGGCTCCTTGGAAGTCAATTCTCAAATTTATTTACCCTGGTCTTGTTTCCTGTCTATGAGGGTGGGTAATGGGGACGTTGCCAAATTCTGGAAGGATGTCTGGGTGGGCACTTCTTTTGCTTTGTCTTTTCCACATTTGTATAGAGTGTCTCAGTCTCATAATTGTTCTATTGCTTCCATGGCCTGTTCTTCTTTTTGGAACTTTAATTTCTCAGGAATCTTAATGATAGGGAAGTTGGGGAATTGGTAGCTCTATTGTCAAGGCTAGAACATGTCGCTTTAGTTCTAAATTTGGAGGATAAGTGGGTTTGGGATATTCATTCATCGAGCTCTTTCTCTTGTAAATCTTTTTTTGACAAAATCATCGACAAGCCTCACATACGTCACTTTCAATTTCATAAGAAGATCTGGAGGGCTTGTATTCCTCTTAAGGTGAAGGTGTTCATATGGATCTTGGTTCATGGAGGCACTTTGACAAATGATTCATTGCAAAAGAGGAGACCTTCCCGTTATCTAAATCCTTAATGGTGCATAATGTGTTGTAGGAACGGAGAATCTTTGGATCATCTATTTCTACATTGTTCAATAGCAGTGAGTTTGTGGCAAAGGTTGTTTAAATTGGGGAATGTGTCGTGGGTGGCTCCAAAATGCAGTGCACAAATGATTTTAATTGATTTTCGAGTATTGGGAAGATCGAAGAGAGCCAAGGTGCTTTGGCTTTGTGTTGTCTTTGCAATTTGCTAGGTTATTTGGTTGGAGAGAAATGGGCGTGTCTTCGAAGAAGTTTCTCGAAATGTCGATTTTTTATGGGAAAGAGGAAAGAGGTCGACGCTTAGCTTCTTTTTGGGCCTCAGTGAATCCTATGTTCTGAGAGATTTCTTTTTTTCTTATTGCAGCAAATTGGGTGTCAGTTTGTGATATGCAGTGTCAGTGATTTTGGTTTTGGTTTTTGGATTTTCATCTTCTCCTGTTTTTTCCTTTTTATGTTTTCTTTGTAGAGGATTGCTTATTATCGTCTTGTTCTGGCTTTGTGCCTTTATAAAATCCTTCTTGTTGCTGATCAAAGAAAAAAAAGTTACATCTCTCTCCAATAGCTTAAACTTTTATGAGTTAGTTGTTGACAATTTAACAAAAACAAAAGTAAGGCTTTCTCTACAAGTGGTATAATTCATTAATGTAAACTCAATAAACATCTGCACATTCCCATTTAACAAACATTTATCTATCTAAAATCACATTCTTATGTGTAGTGGGCATTTGGGGCTGGCTTTTTTAGTGGCTTTTTCAGTTAATAATGTGTTTGGAAAGTTGCTAAAAAAAACTGCTTTTTGGTGAGTGAAAATAGTTGATGTGACATTTGATTTTTTGAGCTCATGACAAATGGCTTGGTGGTTTTTTTATTTTTTTAACAAAAGCTGGTATTTTTAGGTGGTTCCCAAATGAACAACTAATATGTCCATACATATATTTCCTTACAATATTATGGCGTTATATTCGATAACTTTTTCAATTTATATTCAAGAATTTAAATCTAATTACAAGTCATTTCATGGAAACATTACAACATATTATGTTATTATATATCAATTATTCTAGAGTAATCAAAACTTAATTTCACAACTTGCTTTCACTTCTAGAATGTCTAAAATGTTAGTCAAAAGTATCACCAAAACCATTAGTAATTAGAACTTTTTGAAAGCAGCCAAAGTTTACCAATAAATAAAAAATAAGAGCTTCTGCTGCTAAAATTATAAGGAAAAAAAAATCTAATTCTAAGTGCAAATACATTGTCTAATTCTATTTATCAAGTAAACAAAATTAGCCGAGATACAGACTTAAGGAACAGAAATATTGAGCCGATCACCAACACCACCATCCATATTGGTGTCAACTAACGCAGATTATTCATTGCCATAAAGATTAAATAATCATATTAACTCCCTCAAACAATGTGTGCCCTTTTACATTTACTATAATTTTAAAAGCAGTGAGGTTCTAAGGTTGCAACACCTTCCAAAATAGATTGCCAATAGCTGTCCCTATGAAAGAAGATAGCAAAAGAAGAATGTCCGAGACTGATTTAATAGAGATGCTTCCTACCCAAACATATGCATGCAAACAACAAGAAATAACAACACGGTAGAAAATGTAAGACACGCTTCCAGGGATTCAAATGATAACAGCAAACTGCAATAAATGATATCTCAAATTTGAATACTGATATATAATTGTTCATGTGCATGCTGGTTTTGGGGGAGGCATTCCATTAAAGAAAAAGCAAAACAAATAAGAAAAGTCCAATTCTTGTACCTTGGAGCCGAGAAGTAAAAAGATCTTGTGACTGAGAATATCGAGCAAAAATAGTCAACCCATTAGAGTGATAGTTAAGCTTCCTTGGCCTGCTTGATATACTTGTAGCAGGCAACTGCAATGAAAGATAACAAAACTCAATGTCCTGTACAAGTGTTGGTGTGTGCGAGCCTGCCATTTGCATAATTTTCATAATCATGAGAACTACAATGAACAAAAAGGTTTCAAATCAATCATCAAGTCATCATCGAGTGAGATGGTAGACAACATAACCAACCCACAATTTAACTCCTCATATATAAAGGATGGATCTAAGGGGGCGTAAGGGGGCAAGCACACCCCCAAAATGTTTAAAAAATACCCCTCCCTATTATACTAAAAAATAGTAATTAGTAAGATAATCCCCAAATTATATGGTTTCTCACCCCCAAAATTATAGAGTGTGCACACCCAAATTAACTATATGACAAAAGTTTAAAATAGTTTCATAATTGAGTTTTGTCAAATGTTTTTGTTTTTGTCTATGTTACATGGACTCTTCAAAATAAATCAAGTACCCGTGTCGGACACCTGACACTCGAACAAGGGTATGGGATATGTGTCGGATACTTTTCAACGGATACTTCTTATATTATTGTATATAACACTATTATTATATGTACATATTGTTGTATAATTGCTATAAATGTCATTTTCACACTATAAGTTAAATATAATACCATTTTATCTCACATATTAGATTAAAAATATAAAAATATGACATTTTTTTGCCGAGTCCGCGTATCCTTAAATTTATGATTTGATGAGTCCGACCTCTAGATACATACCCGCACCCGACACCCGTACCCGAGTCCATGTAACATAGGTTTTTGTTTATTTTTGCATGGGGATATACTATTTTTGTTTAATAGGGGTTATTGATCATATTGATAATACACACACACACACACACACACACACATATTATCCTTAGTTACTTCTATTCTTCTCTTTAAAATTTCATTCAAAAATTTCACCCAAATAGCAGTTCTCACTTTGATTAACTCAACCATCTCACCTTTCTTTGGTTCAATTTATTTGGAACATGCATTTCAATTTTGATTTTTGTCAAGATTAAGTTGCACAATAGGATGGAAGCTAGTTCACATACATTGAAAAAAAAAAACATTGCTTGAGCTTTTGATATTGAATCTATCATAGATGTTTTTTTTGATATCGTGAACAAGTGTCAAGCACAATTTCTTATGTCAAACATGAATAGATAGAGACATAAAGCAATAACTACTATTCTTTGGTAAGTTAATGCAAATAATAAAACATACTCAACAGTACTTTTTTTTTTCTCCACAAAATAGCGGTTAGTATGTTACTAGTTAGATTACACCACTGGCCAACGTCTCTTCATAACTCGAACTTGAAATCTCACTCACCTTAATACTTAAGTGCCCTCTCCATGACCACTTGAGCAACTGTCTGGGTCTAAAACACACTCAATTGTATGATCATATTCTTTTACTGAACTATGTTGATAAAGAATGTTTAGTTAATAGTAATATGGTTTGGCTTCTCTCAAGATGGCCATCTCAACTTGAGAAGAGAGGGTTTGGGTTTGGGTTTGGGTTTGGGACTAATTTCGGTGATCTAAACCGTTCACCTTTTAAAACTCATTGAATAGAATATTTATACAAAAAATAAAGATAATTGGACATCAGTAACTATATGAACCAAACCAAACCAAACAAAGACTTAAATCCCATCAAATGGGGTCGGCTAGATAAATCATTCTTCTCCATGCGACTCTATCAAAGGCCATTTCGTTAATCAAATTAAGTAAAATCTTTTTTCTTCACATGACTCTATCAGTATGTTTAAATCAAATTTGTATTATAAAAAATAAAGGACTATTCTTAAAATTATATTTCTCGTCTATTTTTTTAAAATAAATATGATTCCAACATATAACTAACAAAATCCAATCTTCTTGCTTTTTTGCATGAATAGTCTACTGAATGCATTCTAAAACATGAACGTTCGGATCACCGAAATTGGTCCCAAAATGAGTCTGCTTAGCCCAGATGCTCTCTCAAGTTGAGTTGACAACGTGAGGGAAGTCAAACCCAGAGTGATATTATTCATACAAAACCTAAGTGAGAAACTCCAATCATTTCCTCTCCTTTCTCATCTCAAGATCCAAACGGAGAGTAAGAGAAAGAGGAACTTCAACTTGGGGAACAAGAAGCCCCATCAGTCAATCAAAAAACGAGCGTAAACAAAACAAATGAATTAAAAAAATGACTGTTTATAATTCTTTACAAGTAAACAAAAGAAGTTTTACAGAACTAAATTAGCTTAAAAAACAATTAAAAAAATTCAAAATTAATGAAAAGGAGTAAGAGTCATCTCAATTGTCAACCCATGCCAATCCACAGACATAAATATATGTAGATATTGAGATAGAAGAGTGAAACAATCGGAACGATTCAGAGAAACAAAGAAAGATATGCGGAGTGAGAATATGGAAGCAACGAACCAACCAACCAACCTGAGGATGTGGAAAAAAAGGCAATCGACCATGCCCTACGCCTCTGAACAACACTACTGAAACAACCGCCATTTTCCACTCTCACTCCTCGATGCGATTCGATTCGATTTGGCCGCAACGCTCTCGCTGACCGATTTGGGATGAACAACAACAAAATGGAAAATTCATATTTAATTGTGCAAATACTTTTTTTTTTTTTTTATTAATGTGATCTTAATTTTCTATTTGTTGCTAATTTGTTATTAATACTCACATGTTTTTTTTTTTTTTTTTTTTTTGATTCAAACATGCGATAGTGATGTATGTATGGTTGTTAAAATATCTTAACACAGAACGTGGAACAAAAAAATCCACGTGGCAACATAAACATGCAACGTCTTTTCATTAATTTTTTCATTTTCATTTTCATTTTATTTTAAATTTGAGTAAAAGGTGAATAATCCCAGTCTTTTTACAATTTTTTTTTTTTGAATTTCCTTTTTATCTTAAATTTTAAATTTGATAAAAAAAAATTATCTCTAATATTTTATCTTTTTAAATTTTTATTAAATTTAAATTTAAAAAATATTTGATGAGTTCTTGATTTTTTACAAGAAAAAAAAATGATTCTCTCTTTAATTTGATGAAGATTTAACAAAATTATTAAAAACAATTTTTAATATTATTTTATTAAATTTAAATTTAATTATTAAAAAAAAAGTGAATAAATAAAGATATGCCTACAAGAAAGATTGTTGGTGTATTTTGGTTGATTTGGAATGCATTCTTACATCATTTGGTATCATTTATAAATTAATTTTTTTTATTATAATTTTTTAATTTTAATTTACAAAAATTAAAGTAGTTTTTTTAAAAAAAATTTAATCCCACTGCCAGCAAGTTTGCTGGAAAATTTGTTGGCACTAAAAAAGTTTAAAAATTTCACCAGAGGAGCCAACAACGTTGGTGGGGGTTGTAGTGGCGGCTGGTGATGGTAATATGGACGGATAATATAAATAGATAGGCAAATTATGTGAACATTGAACAAATAGATAATACGTGAACAATTAAGTGATGTGAATAGATAGATAACATGATTTATATGTCCAAAAAGACATATCTGTTAAAAGTTTACCTATATATATAAATGTCACATATTTATACGCGTCACCTATCTATCCAATTATATGTCTAAATATCACTTATTTGTACACATATCACTTATCCATCCACATCATCGCCACTTGCCGTCGTCCACTAGCCACCATCAACTTTCTAATGACTTCCAACCAATTTTTTAGCAACTTCTTCAGCGATTTTTTATCAACAAAATTAGACCTTGAACCAAATAAGATGTGGCTCCGTTGATGTGTACTTTTCACCGATTAACCCAAAAACAAACTGTCAACCTGCACAAGAGTAGCCCAGTGGAAAAGGGGCGCACTCTAGGATGAATAGTAACCTGTAATGTCCTGGACTCCTAGCAATCCGACACATTGATCATCAAAAAATTTAAGAAAAAAGACCAGAACACATTCATAACCCATATGCAATTGCTAAAAATAAAAAATCCCAAGCAACTTGGTCCGGATATAACAAAATTGTTCCAGAATTGTCTACAGTCTCTCAGTTGCTTTCCCTTTTAACAATATGCCCAAGGACAACAACACTAGCAGTGACCAAACTTGTGGGGCTGGTGATTACCCCTCAAATCCACTCTAAGAACATTTAGTTCCCTTCTCAATGGGAAATTCATTCAAACTCAAATGGACAATCAACAAATGATATGCTAGTTTAGGTGTACAAATTGCTCAACTAGACCCATCTGAATACCTACCTATTAATGAATTCAACACAACATAACATCAATAAATAGTGGATAAAATAGTGATGCTAACTTACCATCCATGCCAATATCTAATGGTAATTTTGGCACCAAAAACTTAACTGCATACTCTGAACCTAAGATAATGCTTAAACAGTACACATGTATGCCTAATAATCAGTGAGGTTAGGTTTGAACCTTACATCTGCTCCGCAACAGTCCCCAACTTACACCTTTAAGCCTGAAACTAGTGAATGATTCAGCCTATGATTTAATGCAAAGTCAAGAAGAGAACATATGCAATTTTACAGCACCCCATGCTTTGCAGGCAGACCATGTTAGATGTCAATAACAGATGTACTTTCAGTAGCCATGTTCAATGTGTATCCCACAAAAATCACAAATCACATCCTCCAAGTTGATGCATATGAGGTAGCAACCACCAGGCAATGATCGTAATATTTGCTAATGAAATGCCAATGACAGATCTAGTTTCAGTAGTCATGTTCTACATCTATCCCACAAGTAACATGAATCACACATCCTCCAAGTGAATTGAGGGAATGAAACTCCAAAAGGTCCTGCAAGATGCTAGTATGAAATGCAAATGCATATGCAAAAATCTCAAACCTTCATTGCGATCATACATTCATTTAAAATTGTCAACCGTACATTCATTAAAAAACATGTTTTAAAGCAGGTCAAAATGACATTTTCATTTAAATTTTAATGGCATGGTGAAATCGTCTCTATCCCTCTCTCTCCATTCACAAATTAAAAAACTGAACAAGACCAAAAACGCAAGTAGAATTTGAAACAAAATAAGTTGCTTTATCATTCCTAGGAGCAACACTGAAATGGAAGGATTTGACCTTAAAAGGAAACAAAAATATCATATATGAAATGGAGAGGATCCCTTTCAATCTATGAATCATGAATACGAATATAGGTTATGAGATGCAGATAGGAAACAGATACGACAAAACTCATCCATAAATATTTAAAAAAAAGTAGTGTTGTACTAAACATAAACATAACCTCAAAGAAATGTGAGAAACTCAGAAACCCCTCTCTCTCTCTCTCACACACATACACAAATCAACAAAATAGACAAAAATATAAACAAGACCAAATAACTAAGCAGAATGTGTAACAAAATAAGTTGGCATGTCACTCGTAAGTGCAACAATGCAATGGAACTTGAACGGGAAACTACAATTCCACATATCCAATGGAGAAGATCCCTTTCAATGGATGTCATCCAAACAGTGCAAAAAGGAACAGCCACGATTTTGCAACTTTATTAAAATTTAAATAAAATTATGCATCTTAATCACGTTTTGATTCATGCCTTCAAATAAAAAATCTAGTTATCAACTGCAGATTCAGTTGTAAGAGCATGATTGTTAATCACACTTTCATTTAATTTTAATGACATGGTGCAATCGTGCTTTATTTTTGGTGTTCAGATGTGATATGTTGAAATTAATATCTCCATTTTTCGTATGAAACCCAAATCTAAAAGGAGAGGCCTTTCAATAGACACCATCCAAACATTGCAATAAGGACCAGGCACAATTTTAAACTTCAGTAAAATTTAATAAAAAATGTGCATCTTAACCACATTTTAAATCAAAATGTATTTATCAAATGAAAAATGTAGTTATCAACAGCACATTCACTTGTAATTTGTAAAAGCCTGGTTGTCACACACTTGGTGAAATCGTGCTTTATTTTTGATGTTCAGATGTGATATGTTGAAATTAATCTCTCCATTTTTGGTATGATATGAAGATGATCCAAATCTAAAACACACTCTCTCACACATAAAAGTAGCACGTGTAACAGAATGAGTAATGCTATACAAACAAAAAAATTCATATATAATGATGTGACTCATTGCTGATCTTTCATTTTAAAACAAAACACCACTGAAGATGTATTTATCTACAATAATGGTATTGCCACGTCATTCTTATCAAATTTTTTGTATGAATAGAATTTTCCACAAAATAAATGGTCTGCCATTTAAAATGGAAGGATCCCTCTTGAAAGGGAAGCTACAATTCCATATATGAAACAGCCAAATTTTTACCAGGTCACTAATTCAAGAAAGAAACCATGCTGTTTTTATTTTTGGTGTTCGGGTCGGATATGTTGAAATTGACCTCCATTTTTCGTAAGGAACAAAGATGATCCAAATCTAAAAGGGATCTCTCTCACACGCATAAAAAAATACAAACAAGATCAAATACCTAAGTAGAATGTGTAAGAATCAGTTGGCCTGTCATTCCAAAGAGAAACTTTGAAATGGAAGAATCCCACCTGAAAGGAAACACAATTCCATAAACCATAAACATGAGATATCAGCATCTCTATAAAGGATGGAGTGCTTTTCATTAACTCTTTTGATGACATGAAAACTAATAATTTTTCGCATCAATTAGCAATCTTCTTTTAAACTTTTTGAACCAAATGTGAGAGGTTCCAATTTCCACTCTATTCACTACACCAAAAGAATGTAGGATTCCACCATCAATTCAATATGCAGGAATATTACCAATCTAAGACTTCAATAAGCATATGTGCCAACAATTTATGATTATTTGAGATCTTCAGAAGATAAAAGGTAACGTTTGGTAGAATTTTAGAAATATGATTTGAGCATAGAATTGTATTTTGAGTTTGTGAGTTTTGAAATTATGATTTGAGTGTAGAAAATTTGTTTGGTTATGAGTTTTGAATTGAGTGTTGAATGTTTGATGTGACATGTGAAATAAGAAAATCTGTTTGGTTATGAATTTTGAAAAGAGTTTTCAAAATTTAATTCAAAAAGTTATAAACTCATAACCAAACACAGAACTCAAAACTCTATTGAAAATTCTGTTCAAAACTCAGAACCAATTTCTTTTTAAAATTCAATTCCAAAAAATAATTATTAAAAGAAATAGCATAATTTTTTTTTAATTGAAAATATTACAAACAAAATAAATTTTTTTCAAAATAAATATTCAATTACTGCTTTAAAATAACTTTTGATTGTATATTTAGTTGGAATTATTTTTTTAAAATATTTTTGATTTAAAATAAAAATATATATATATATTATTTTTGTTAAAAAAATCAAAAACAAAATCCCCCCACCCTCTTTTTTTTCCAAATAACAAGTGCCAATTGCAAAAAAAAAAAAAAAAATGTCATGTTCCGATTGACCGGTCGGACGACTGGTTAAGCCAAATTTCAAAAAAACAAAAAAATTTGAACTTTTCAAAATTCAAAATTAAAAAAAAAAACTCTCTTCTCCAAACAGAAGCCGAAATGAGTTTTGGAATGTTATATTGGAATTAATTTTTAAAAACTGTAACCAAACAAAGAGTTGAAAACAGCTTTGGAATCATGTTTCCAGAGTTGCTCCAAATACAGCCAAATCCTTTCTTCT